TACAAAATTTAACCTTTTAAATCCCGAATTATATTAGAAGTTTCACAGCAAAATTCTTAAACTCGACCTTGTTTCAAATACAGCGTTCTTTGACAGTCACAAGTGCAAGTGAACTTAGCGGGCTTGTGAATTCATCTTCCAACAGCGAATGCTTTCTAAGAATTTCAAGGAAAAAATACCTGGTTAGAGTAAGAATTAATTGACAATTCGGTGAAAAACCTAAACGAAATAAGCGAGGCCACTGCAGAGTCTAGTACCACGGCAACTATTGTCACGATTTACTCGTTCAACAAATACCACGATAAGAAGAACAATGTCGTTATGTGTGATTTAGAGGGAAGCTTTGACAGCCTCCCACGCAGACGTTCTTGGGGCTTTATCACGCGTTCTTGCGTGGTGAAGGAACGCATGATGAAGCCCTAGGAATATCGGCGTGGGAGGCTAAAGCTTTGACCGCAGATCAGAGAGTCTTGAAATTTCTCCCTAACAGGTTGTTACAAGGAAAAACTCATATCCACTTTCTCCTAGTGGCCAGATTCAAGATAACAGTTCAGAATTATAGTCAGACACCCTTCCTTCTTCTTTGTCCTCTACAGGTTGAGATATCCTCCTTAAAAAGGGTATCTCCATGTTTTCGGTATGAAAAGTCTGTCTTTGATCCTCAGTGAAAGCACCATCAACAGATTGGATAGCACTGTCAATTAGCTCTCTCACCAGTGACTCCATAAAGCACTCAACATGTACATCCAAATGCCCATCCAAAGTCCAACAGAGTCGTCTTACTGACTGTAGCATAGACACTTTCATTTCACCGTCTCTGTCTATGCTATGAGTCCACTTTTGAAAGGCTCTGAAGGTTTTCAATATCTTTTCTCGCGAGTTTCCATCATTCAAGTGTAATAAGATTGCAGAATTTTGCCACTGTGCATACAGCAATATCTGTAATCCTTTGCATGTGCTAGCCACTTGCAGGTTTGATGTAGGTGATATCTGACCTTTCTTTAAATTAAGATGGCACCCCACCCATCCAGGCTGGGAATCTGCCATGACCATATTTCCTGTTGTCAAGGAAACTGCTTTCAGATTGCCATTTAAATTTGCCACAATGTATTCACTTCCTGTAACATAGATATGCCGTGAGAGCCCAAAGGAGCATGCATTGTTACACAAGCACCTTACATAGTCACTCCTGTCAACAGTAATCTGTATGCAATTCTTATCGACTGTCACTGTGGGATCCAAATCAATGATCACAAATGACACATGGGCCTCAGCTGGATCCACTTTCGGAAACAGAAGCATGAAAACAAGCTTAGTTCCATTCAAGTTTGTCTTGCAAGAGACAAACCTTGAACATGGGCTATCAACAGGCTTGAACAGCTGTGTGGCATAAAGTGCTAATACTCCTGAGTCAGCATAGTAAGTAATACAATGAAAGGGGGCGCCAGCATTTGGGACAATCTTTGGTGCATAAATGTGGGTAACTTTATCATCCACCTCCACTGTCTTCCATGGTTTCCCCAAATGAAGAGAGTCGATATGTTTCTGCACCTTTTGCCGGTTTTGCATCATCTCTTGCCTTAAAAGAAAGACAAATCAGATGATAAAGTGCTCACATGTTTAAGAACACGATTGTCCTCGGAGATTTTTAGATTCATCCACAAGAGCAGTCGGGGATCAAGGATACACATTTGCAATGCTATTAACCTTTTAGATGTTTATTAAAATGCCATTGCTGATTATTTCTCACAATTGGTACTATTTAAGGGACATGCTTGTTTGCAGGAAAGAAGCTGTGTCAGGAGTGGAGTAACCTGAGATCAGGCATTATTTTTTAAATTTTTTTTTGCTTCTTTGCTTCTTTGGCTCGAGAGGGAAAAAAAATAACGCCTGATACATTCATTTAAAAAGCCATTAACCGCCCCCTAATTTACATAATCTGACGTCTGCATGACCTGTCATGTTATTAAGCCAAGAAGAGTTTACCATACGGGAATCAAATTTTGGCATGAATAATGTCTCTTTTGAAATCAATTTTAGGGAAAAGGAAATTTTTAAGTACGTCCATCTTCAGATGGTGCTTCCTAAAAAAAATTTTAAATGTGTTGTTTTTGTGACGAAATACTGCTAGCTGGAGCTACTGTACCTTTATTTAACAGCTACAAATAATAAAGAATTTACTGGTCAAAGCTTGTTGACTTCGTTCTGTGCCAAAAGCAGTGAAAAAAAAGTTAGGCTGAGGCACCACATTTTACGAACTGAAAGGTGTTGTGGAAGCGAAGATCGCTCAGAATAATTCACAGGTTTCTGAAGGAGGAATTACAGTCAAACCAGGTCAAGATTCCATTCATGAATTGATTATTTGAAAAAACAAGTGAACCGTTTGTCGCTTCTGTAACTTGTAGCGGGTATCAAATTGCGTTCAAATGATCGGTGAATTTTTGACCGCAACTTTTTAGTATATGATCAGATGGAAAATATTTCAATGGATGAAATTTGTATTTAGGCATTCTTCAAATTCAAGAAAACTGAGCCGGCAGAAATTTATAATGAACTCACGTGTGTATTCACTGCCCATTACGCAAGCAAAAATGCAGACTGAAATCAACAACTAATGGATGGCTGTATTTTGGCCAATTGGAACAGCGCAAATCATCCCTATTGTTTCCTATCCAATCAGAAAAAAGTCCAGATTCTGGCTTTTTTACATGTGATCTGACAAAGAAATGTATCATGCCCTCTTCCCGTGAGAGACCTAAAGGGAGACATAATCTCAGGCTAGGAGTGGAGCCTTTAAAAAGCAATCCACTTAAATATGGCTTTAATGTGTGTAAAGCTATTTTCTTGATAGGATTGTAGCAACCATGTTACCTGAGCCGTTGGTGCTTTCGACTTGGTCCCTTTAGAACGTCTGTGAACTCAACCTTCTCCTGTGCTCCCAGAACAGGTTCATAAGTCACTTCTGACATGTTCAATCTGTACTTGATACTTGGAACAAACCAGCCAAATCCTGTTAAAGACTCGCTGGAATATTCCCACAGGTTAATAAATCCCATAGCATCTACTGTTACCATGGGAGAAGTACTGTTCACAAAACTTATCAGAACAATGCGGTGGTGATGTGATTTGAATAATTCTGCTTCAATATTATTCCCAACCTTATGAGATGAACCATTAAGGGGCTGAACTTGTGCTACAGACATTATTGAGGGGGAATTCCTGAACTTGAGTCGTAAAATGTTGCCATTGTTTAGACCTACCATCAAAAAGCTTTGCTTTCCAAGAAGTGAGACAGAGGGGTGAAAAGCTATTGCAGTGGCCTTGCTTATCAAATCTCTGGATTCTGAAAAAGGACCTTGTGTGAAAAAGAGGTCATTCAATTCAAGAGTAAGCAAGGGCATCAAGGTGGAAGATTTGAAACCAAGATCCTTTTCGACAGGCTCAAATGCCTTAACATCATAAAGCACAGATGTGGTGTCACCTAGCAACCAAATGCTGATGGTTCCATGTTCATTAAGACTGACAACTTGTAAAGAGTCCAAAGACCACTGGAGCTGAATGATAACAGAACTTCTTCCACGACTGGTTCTCAATATTCGCGGTGGATAGGTTAACAAATCCCATACAACAATATCCCCTTGAACAGTCCCTAGAACAACAAGGGAGTCATTTGGCGACACTGCACTGCATGAAACACCTCTGTATCGTCTTGGTAATGGAAGAATAGAGAGATCAATGCCATAACCCATCCAAAAGTTAGACTCCTCATTTCGGAAGTTTACTTGCTCTGATAACATGTCTGAATCTGGAATATTACTGAAAGGAGTTAAATTATGAAAGTACAAAA